TCCTGTGGCTCCTCTGGCTGTGCCTGCTTCTGCCCCGGCAGGGGGAGCCACAGGAAAAGCCCCCATGGCTGCCCTGCCCTGCCCAGCCCCATCCCCTGCCTGGCCTTAGCCTCCTGGCACTTTAAAAGGAGGGCTGAGGGGCTGTGCCGGGCTCTTCCTGGGGTCCTCTGAAACATCTGAAACATTTCTGAAATGTTTTGGATGGTTTAATTTCGTTTTGGATTTGGTGTTTTGGGTGCCGAAATGGGCCGAAACTCCTCTGAAACGAAACAGCTGCTGAGTTTCACACAGCCCTACTAAATGACTGCACAGTAACCCGAGTTACTCTTCAGTAATACCAATGGATGCCTTTTTTGTGACACTACTGCACAGTAGCCTAATATTACTATGTAATAGCATTGTGTCACAGTTGTTGCCACATGATGCTAGTGTACAGTAGCATCAGGCTACTGTGCGGTCAGTGTCTCATGTAAAGACAGCCACTAATGGCAAGTTTTACCTTTGCTTTATAAATTGGAGACTAGATTTTGTTGATCTCAGTTAATTTTGATAACAATCTCAGTCTGTGATTGTTTTGCTGAACTTTGGGGCCCATCTTGCAGTGCAGTACTATCAGGATTTGGGTATTCAAAAAGTCTGTCTTCTCCTCATTGGATTAAATACTCCTCACTTTTACCCAGGCCTGTTTTTCCCTTATATGTAAATTAGTCTCAGAGACAGATGTGCCTTTTTGTCTGTTTAAACATAAGAAACAAATTAGAAGAAGCTTACTTCTTGATACCAGCTTTCTAATTTCACTTTTATCGGTGCTTGAAATATGCTGCCTTGACTTGAGGAACTCACTGATTTTTTGTTTATATTTAGTGGCATTAATGGCTTTAGAAACATAAGAAAACTTTTCCAGAATGAGTGAATAATCTTACAAGAGAGATGTAACAAAAACTGAACTTTTGTAAGTCAGTTTTAAATAGACCACTGCAAGAGCGTTTAATTTTCTTTTATGGTGTAGACCTCACATTAATACAAACTAACTCCTGGCTACTCCCTTCTTCCCTTCATGATCTCATTACATCCATCACAAATACAGGGTGTTCTTACAAGGAAGAATATGAGGGAATCATTTGGTTTGCCTTTTCAAATGGAAACAAGGAAAAAAACTAGCACTTTGTGACCAGGTAGGTCTCTGTGATTGATCAGTTAACATTCCAGTGGAGTATAACAAATTGGAGAGAGTCCAGTGGAGAGCAGTGAAAGTGGTTTGGGAACTGGGCCACATGACTTCTGAGGGGAGGTTGAGGGATCTGGGCTTATTTAGTTTGGAGAAGAGAAGATGGAGAGGGGATTTAATAGCCTTTAACTACCTGAAGGGTGGTTCCTAAGAGGGTGGTGGATATTTGCAGTGGTGGCAGATGACAGAACATAGAGCAATGGTCTCAAGTTGCAGCAAGGGAAGTTCAGGTTAGATATTAGGAGGAACTTTCTTACAAGGAGGGTTGTTAAGCATTGGAACAGGCTACCCAGAGAGGTGGTGGAATCTCCATCCTTGCAGGTTTTAAGATCAAGCGGGGGGGTTGGTCTAGATGACCTCCTGAGGTCCCTTCCAGCCCTAATTTTTTATTATTCTGTTTCCACATACCATTGAGAACCATTTGGCTACAAAATATTGCAAATTGAATACAACAGTTTACTTTTGTACACCTAAGATATTAGAGTAGGGGTTTTCAACCTTTTTAAAGAAGTGTACCCCTTTGGTCTCAAAGTTTCAGTTTGTGTAGCCATTTATATATATATTTGTTTTTAAGGGAGGAGGCAGATTGAGGCCCCCTGTGGTGAGGGAGGGAGTGGGGATGGGGTTGGGACAGGCATTGCATAGGTGGAGGGAGAAAAAAATATTTGG